AAAAGCAATTCCTAACCTTAGCTCTTCAGTAAGTAATAGGGCTCAGGAACCCCTCTCTACTCCATGATGGAATGTTGACTTGTTTAATCTGTGTTGGCGGCCACAGCTGCTGCCAGTTCATGAATGCAGGGGTCCTGTCATGTCTTAAATATGCCGTTTCACTCTGCTCATTTTTAATCTATGGCTCTTACAATCCTTCTGCCTTTTATTCTGCCATGGTTCCTGAGTCTTGAAGAGGAAGAATGATTTAAATGTTCCACTTGTGCCTTAACACTCTGCATTCACTTATTCATTCTCTTTACATCCATCAGTTGATTCTGCTTTAGTCATTATTAAGTGCACAAAGGGAGTTCTGGTGACGTCTAAAGCTCGCATCAATCTACAGATAGAGAAACACAAATTTACAAGACATTTTGATTACATGTCCATTTAGCAAAATAATAGGCAGTAGAAGTATACCTGGGGTTTGTTAATTCCCAAAGCATGTGTTCTTGAGCAGTTTTACAGCACGGGGCATCTATCCTCCTGAGGTAGACACCTTAGCTGCCCAGAAATCAGATAATTATCTCTATAACATTCTCATGTCTCCCCTTGGCCATAGCTTGTCTCATCAGTCATTATTACAGTTCACAGCATTCACAGTTGATGGAGATGTTTGAGGACTTGACCTGTAGCAGTCTGCATAGCACATTCTGGCATTATGAAATTTAGTATGGAGGCAGATTCTTAGTCAGTACCAACGTGATTTCTCCAGGTCCTGTGACCAATGTGTATGGTGCCTTTAGCAATTGGGTCTTGTCATTGAGTTCTGGAGAGAGACCAAAGGCAAGGACCATAACTTTGTATTGTACTGGAACCTCAGGGTCACCTCTGGCCAACAACTCAACCTACCTGCCCTAAGCTTTTTATTTAGCAATATTTGGCTTTTGGAATAAGCATCATCCCCTATGTAGGGAAGCTTCAATTGAACTTTTATATAAATGTGTATACATATTTATACATAAATATAATATACATTTATATAAAAGTTTATAAAATAGTAGGCTTCCATACAGCTTTAGAAATGTACCTTGCTGTTAGTTGTCCCTCCCCCAGCTCCTACCCCAGTTAAACCTTGCTCCTTATTATTCCTTTATCGTCCTTCATTTCACCTGTGTTCTGTTCTCCCCCTTCCCTGAAGATATTCATTATCCATTGACAACAATGGTCCCTTTTTGGTTTAAATTAAACACAATGAAGAGACTCAATAGGAGTAATAAGTAACATGCAAAGTTCGTATTCCCGTGTGCGGGCTACCACATTCAGTATAGTGCTTTCCAGCGCAATCCATTTACACAGACATTCCACAATTTCATTTTTCTTCACAACTGAATGAAATTCTTTTGTATGTTGATACCTCCTTTTAATTATCTGTTCACCAGTTGAAGGTCATCTCAGCTTTTCCCATGTCTGAACTAAACTGGGGTACGATGAATATTATATGATGTATATTACTAAATTAAAATAAATTCACTTAAAGTCACATATCACACACAGTCAATTTTTACCGGTCCTTTCTCCCTCCCTCTGATTCTAAAGGCTTCTCTGAACAATATGAAGAAAACTGTTGGATTCAAATATATAAATGCCAAAATATCTACAATATCAACAAAAGTTCTGTGGCTTCATTTTAGAGTTATGATAAATCAATTGAAAATATAACATAATTAGAAACATTAACCCTAGGAAACAAATATGTGACATATAAGCAAAGAAATATGGAAAAAAATATAAATACATTAATGCTTAAAAGAGAAAAAGGAAAATGTTTAGACTGATGATGGAAAAAAGGATTGATGGGGCTTCTGGAGTAGAAAAGAAATAAAAAAAAATATAAATTCCTAAAGAAAGTAAAACAGACTGCCAAGGTTTAAGGGATTCTGTTGGATATTGAAAGCAGTTCAATTTTGACCCTACCGTTTCTGTGTAGTAATAAAAACTAAGTTCTAATTATATTGCTAGAGAGAGAAGAGAAAATGAAATCAATGATTTCAGACTGGTGTTTACATTTGGGATGTGGATTCATTAACCCAACTTCTCACTCTGGTAGCTGGTGTTCACCTTTAGGGATTTATTCTCTTAAACTCAGTCTGGCTCTTTAGTAGCATCGTTCAGTGAGGAGCTGCTCTGTTTCCTGAGCCAATCTATTTCTTTGACTTCACTAATACATCAGTTTCTGCTCTGTATTTCCTGTGCCCTTGTTTCATTTTCTCCTTTGCAAGTCCTTCCTTCCAAAGCTCATAACCCTAAAGTCAGTTCACAGTCCATTCCCTACCACTTTTATGTATTTTATACAGTCTAATTCATGCACTGAGTTTAAATTATCTTAGCTATTCTAATATAGTATAGAATTCACTGAAATGAAGATTTAGCCTAGTGTTTGAACTAATCAGTTCTGTTGCCCGTTAATGTTGTATGAAAATTTGAAAATATGTTGACTTAGCATATTTTTATTAAAACTGAATAGTTGTTTAGTTATTCCAGTATTTTCATATAAAGTATTCAAATTCTAAATATGCATTTTACTGACTCAATATGATACTGTATAAGTAAGTACCTTTAATCTGATCAGAATTGGAATGTTTTCCCCTTTCTTTTTTAAAATGTTCATTTTCTTATACTCCAGGTGGTTCTGAGGGCCTTGATTAAAACAACATTGCCCACTCTGAGCGTATTTCTGGTCTGCCTAATGACCTGGCTGCTTTTCAGTGTTATTGGAGTACACTTATTTGCTGGCAAGTTCTATGCATGCATTGACCCAACAAGTGGAGAAAGATTCCCTGTGTTTGAGGTTATGAATAAGAGTCAATGTGAAAGCCTGGTATTTAATGAATCGATGCCCTGGGAGAATTCAAAATTTAACTTTGATAATGTTGGAAATAGTTTTCTTTCTTTGCTCCAAATGGTGAGTACACTCTTTGACCTATTTAAAATAAAATTTGCACTCAAGCTAGAGCAAGCTTGCATTTAGACAGAATGTGGACAATGAACAGAATTACTTATAAAATTCCAAGCCGTTATTAACTGATAGATAACAATTATGAGATACATGCTTTCCTAGGCTTCTTTGAAGTTCCAAGAAAATACAGTCCCTGATCCTGTGAGTGAAACACGAGGAAATGACAGTGCAGCCTAAGGGGAGGAAAAGGCATGACTTCACGATTGCCACTCTTGCTCATTGTAACAGGGTCACAGCTTTTCAGTCTAGCTTGGATTGCCACTGTCTCTACACTACCGAACATACTGAGTGATGCTACTTTGTGTTATGATATCTATTCAAAAATCACATGAGGCCACAAGCAGTATTTTGATGGTTATTGTTATATAGTTAGAATTTTAGTACAGTTCCCTTTGTCTCCCTTGTTTTATCAAAACCATATTAAATATTTTATGAATTTTAAATGAATTAGGTAAAGATAATGTAATCTGACAATGAACATGTCGAATGTCTTAGTTACACAGTATTTTTGAAGTGTGGCAAGCCTCACTGTCCAGTGTTTTAGAGTACTAAACAAAAAGAAATTAATTAAGGTTTACTTCTTATTTACCAGGAAAAGTTCTGGATAAGATTCACATATATCTTACTTTCAACAGGCAACATTTAATGGATGGATCAGTATTATGAATTCAGCAGTTGATTCTGTTGGTGTAAGTATCAGACATTCCTAATGTCACTGTCAAGGTGATAACTTAAGCACAGGTAACAACAGTGATTTATAAAGATTAAATTTCAAATTTGGTATTTCATGGGCACTGAATATAATTCCAATAACATATGCAAAAAACTGAGGGCCAGTTATCTTACTTGAAGGATTATCATCTTTTTAAAATAATAACTAAACCAAATACACTTTTAAAATATCAAATGAACAAAGCCACTGAAACTATTGCACCGAGAAACCAGGAGAGCATTTCCTTTATTTGTCAGGGTCGGATTTTTCTTGTCATCATTTGTCTTCTGAGTCTCATGTTTTAACAGGTTAATATACATAGTGTGCTCATTTTTTCACATTCAATTTTAGGTAAACATGCAGCCTAATTTTGAATACAACCTCTACATGTATACTTATTTTATCATCTTTGTGGTCTTTGGATTATTTCTCCCACTGTGTATGCTGATCGGTGCTATTGTCAGTAATTTCAACAAGCAAAAAATTAAGATAAGTATAAATATTCTTTCTGCATGCTTAAAAATCAAACAGCTTTACAAAATCTTTTTTAGAATTTTCTTATTGGTTTGTTGTTATTTTTACATTGTATGAATATAATAGAACAATATTAATGTTCTTGTGCATTGTAAACATTACAAAAATGCTCAATTTTGTTGTATCTGTGATATTCAAAATATATTCAGACAAGAGTTAAATTTTAAAAGGTTCTGCATCTATGTGTGTGTTTATAAATAATAGAGTAGTGAAAGTCAAATAACAAAACCTTGCTTTTTCCATACACAAATATATGCATATGCCCAGAAAAAAAAATTTCTCTTTGAAATAAGGTCTCACTATTATTTGGAGTAAGCACATGATAATTTCAAAAGGCATTGCCAAAGTACAAGTAAGGTAAGTTTTGCAGTCAAGCACAGGACATAAATTATGACATATAGAAATTAAATGTAGTTTAGATTTGATATTGAGCAGGCAATGAAGTATTTCCAGGAATACATCAAATTATTGAGATTTAATGGGCTCAGATTCAATTTTAAGATACTTCTGTCTCCACCTATAGGCATCATCATTCCTATCCAAAGGATGGATGTACATTTCTGTATGTGTGTGTGTGTGTGTGCATGTTTTGGCACATATGTGTGTATGTTCAGGTGTATGTGAACATATGTGGACAAAGGTCAACTTACGGTCTCATTCCTGAGGTGTGGCATCTCCTTTTTGTTTGCTTGCTTGCTTGAGGTAAGTTCTCTCCCTAGCCACTGACCCAGAACTCATTAAGTAGGTTAGCCTGGCCAGTGCACCGCAGGGATCTATCTGTCTCTGCCTCCCCCAGCCTTAGTTTTGCCTGTGAGGTCATCATGCAGAATTTTTCACCTGGGTTCTAAAGATCAAATTCAGGTCCTCTTGCTTGCAAGGCAAGCATGTTGCCATCAGGCATCTCCCTAGCCCGGGAAGAGTTGTGACTTCAATGTGCTCTAGGGCTCCAGAGTCATAACCAGTTTGGTGTAGTCTATGATATATATATAATTAAACATATATTAAAATTAAAATAAATGTCTTTATTATTATTATATAGTATTAAATATATTTATTTAATTACATATATTTAATTTTCTTTACAGTTTATTCACTTTAGATACCAATTGTAGCCCCCTCCCTCATCTGCTCACCTTCCCAACATCCCTTCCTTTTCCTCCTACCCCCCACCCCTAGTTCACTGAAAATTGCATTCCTCCTCCCCTACTTCAGACCCTCGTCTATCAAGTCCCATCAGGACTTGGATTCTCTTCCTCTGTTGGCTGGCAAGGTTGTCCTGCCAGGGGGGAAATGATAAAAGAGCAGGCAACCCAGTCTATGTCAGAGAGAGCCCCCACTCCCCTTTGTGGTAACCCAGAACCAGAAAGACACTCATGGTATATATTCACTTATGAGTGGATGGATATTAGCCATGTAATACAGGAAAACCATAGTAAAATCTACAGATCTAAAGAAGCTAAACAAGGAGGACCCTAGAAAAGATGCTTAAATCTCATTCAGAAGGCAAAAAGGGTAGACACCGGAAGTGGTAGAAGAGAGGAAAAAGGGTGGGAACCTACTATAGAGGGTCCTCTGAAAGACTTCACCCAGTAGGGGATCAAAGCAAGTATAGAAACCCACAGCCAAACTTTTGGCAGAGCACAAGGGAGTCTTAGGGAAAAAGTGGGGAAAGGGTAAAAGGACACAGAGAAGATAGGAGCTCCACAATGAGACCAACAAAATTAAATTATCTGAGCCCAGGCGAGGGCCTGAAGAGACTGATGCATCGACCGAGGACCATGCAAGGAGAGGACTAGACACCCTGCTCAGATGTAGCCCGTAGGCAGCTCAGTCTCCCTTTGGATCCCCTAGAGAGCTCTTTTTGAAGTAGAGAAAGTGGTAGGCCATAAACCCAAGCCATATGAATGTTTAACAGTGTGGGTCTGCTACTTAGAGGGACCAGAAAGCCCAGTGACTGGGACTCAGTTGACTTGATACTGTAGCATCCTAGGACAGAATATTAAAGTTTGTTTCTGGGCCACATGATGGTGATGCGTTTCCATTCCTGTCCATAATCTGACTCAGAGCATAAACAATCACTCTTCCTCTGATTAAAGACACTCTTCAATTTATATATTTCATATGAGATACTGAATTAGCAATAGAAATACAAAATGAATGAGAGAGTGCTGTTCAGTAAGTCCTTTATGCTTCTAGAATTATTTTTAAAAATCTTTTGGTTGCATTTGCAAAATATGGCTGTATTTGAATTTATAAAAGTACAAATTTACCCAATTCTAATTTCACTGACTTCTGCTTGCTAAACAACTCAAACATTATCTATTAAATTCAGTTTTTTTATGGTGGGGCTTTCTGTGTCTTCACTGTGTCTCCTCGTCTCACTAACTGAAAAGAGGAAAGGGCAATGAAGATGGTTGAGCATTGTATATTCCGTGTATTTTCTATGGATTTTCATATCTAAATGCCAAAGCTTGACTGTGTAAAGAATGAAGTCTAATTTTCTAAAATGTACATCAGTAAATGGAAAGGATTAACTGAGGTGTGATTTTCATGTATCTTTTGTTGGTGGAAAATTCTTTTTTATTCATCAATTCAATTTACATCTTTGTCATAGGTCCCTCCCTTTTTCTCCTCCCAGTCCTGCTCACCTTCCCACATCCTCCCTCCCCCTACTTCTTAAGAATAGGGGAGTCCTCACCGCATTCAGACACCCCAGATCATCTGTTCACAGGAGGACTGAGTTGGTCTTCCTCCCTTGTGGCCTGGCAGGGCAGTCCCATCAGGGGGAAGTGATCAAAAAGCAGGTGACATAGTCCATGTCAGAGATATTCCCCACTCCCCTGACTATTGAGCCAACATGAAGCCTAAGATGCCCACCAGGTATTTACAAGTAGAGGACCTAACCATTATCATCCTCAGTGAGGTAACAAAGACCCAGAAAGACACTCATGGTATGCACTCACTTGTGAGTGGATTTTAATCATATAGTACAGGATAGACATACTACAATGTACAGACCCCATAAAATAAGTAACAAGGAGGACCCTAGAGAGGACATGTAACTCTCAGTCATAATGGGAAATAGAATAGACAGAGGTAATGGTGGAAGAGTGGGAACAAGGACCATCAGAGCCAATAAACCGGGGCTCAGAGGGACCGATGAATTCAAAGCACCAACCAAAGACAGTGCACATATCTTTTTTTTCAATTTATTTTTTTACCAGGGAGGATCAAATATGTTTATAACAGTGAACCAGAAAAAACAGTACCGGTCACTGAAGAAGCTCTTGTATGCAGACTCTCAGAGACCAGCACCCCGCCCCATAGTAAGAAAATATTATTTTGCATCTTTAAAAAAAATGTTCATTTCATTCAGGCTACAAATATAGCTGTCTGGCAGAGTTTTTGTCTAACAAATTCTACGTCCTATCTTCAATCACTGGCATCAAAAAATAAATAAACCTCTTTGCTAAGAAATAAAAATCAAAACTTTTATTTATCATTTTATGAATTAAAAATGTTTTTTTAAATTATTAACAATAGGTTCAGTGCAGTGGATCATGCCTTTAATCCCAGAATTTGGAAAGTTGAGAGAGGAGGATCAGGAAGTCATGACTGGTCTCTGCAACATAGCAAGTTTGAGACCAGCTGGGTTACATTATCCTGTCTCAGAGTAAAGAGTCAAATACAATGCAATACTATGTGCATATATATGCATATATATAATGCTTCTTGACAAAAATTATAAAATACATTGTTTGACAGATTCAAGTGGTTTTTTTTATTAGTTTAAGAGGAAACTTGTTAGAATCCAGAAACTTTGCATACATGTGTATCTTGTTAATAAAGATTACCTTTTTCTTTACCTACAGAACAAGTTTCAAGGCTTCGTTTTTGACCTAGTAACACATCGTGTCTTTAATGTTATCGTCATACTTCTTATCTGTTTCCAAGCAACAACCATTATGATACAAAACGATGAGCAGAGTTCACAAATGGAAGCTGCTGTCTACTGGATGAACTCCATTTTTGTCATGCTGTTCACTCTGGAATGCATACTGAAGCTCACTGCCTTCCACTGCCACTATTTCACCAATGCATGGAATGTTCATGATTTTATGGTGGTCGTTTTCTCCATTACAGGTAGTGTTTGCTCTTGTCAAATTTTCCTTTATTGTATTAGTTCAGTTTCTCACAGTGCATACTGAGATAGTGGCCCTTAGGAAGCAAAATGATAAGACCATTTTTTTTTTCCCCACAAAAGGATAGATCACTATTTGCAATATATATATATATATATATATATATATATATATATATATATATATACAATCACTACTTTCTGGGTGAGAAAATATATCTTATATATTAAAAAAATCTTAAAAGTATCTCTCACAAACACATGATACCTGCTTGTTTGTCTGTAATCTATCACATGCCAGGCTGCCATGAAAAAGAGTTCTGTTTATTAAAATGAAATGTCTTTTTAAAGCTTATTAAGATTCCTTACTTTTGAAATTTTTAAAATATTCCCAACTTTCCCAGCATTAGAATTTTAGTATTTAGGAATTTTCATAACAGAAAACATGTATAAACTGCCTGCCAAATTTGCTTTCAGAAATTTCACTCTTTCAGTAGAATAATGAATTCACGTCACTGAACTACTGAGAGTAAAGTGTAAGAAGCTTGATGGAAAAGAAGCTTGATGGAGATCTGGATAGGCAATGGGAAGAAAGCAAGTGAATTACAGATGTACAGCAACTGAAGGAGAAGTTGAAGAATAAGCAGGAATAGAAAAAGCAGCCATAGAGAAGGCTGTTTTAAACTTGAATCTCTAATCTTCTGGGCTAGTCAGTCATCTTTTCAAGGCACTGATGTAGTCAACTGAAGTAAAATACTGAGTAGTATAAAGTTGAGATGGTGAAAGAAGTGAGGTGCGCCCTTGGATGGTTTACTGAGAGAGATGCTGAGGTGAACAAGGAGGATGTGATCCAGTTTCTAAAGCCTTCAGCTGAGTGTATGATGAGGGTTGTGTGGTTCACAGAGTAAGGACATGATAAGAAAGGATTGAGTTGAACAGTATAATCCAGAGTCAGAAATGTATCTTATCTCTTACTAAAAATGATTGGACAAACTGTGCTTGGGAGTCACGCCGGAAAGAGACAAAGATACTTATTCTGTCTTTTTGCCTGCAAAATGTAGAGTGAGGAGAATATGTCTTCTGAGATTGAAAGTGTTTCATGGAAAATAATGTCACCAGAAGAGTCAGATTTTTAGATAAGAGCTTTAATTTCCTCGTAGGGTACATGTGGATAAATTTGTGCACAATTACATGAGAATGCCTCTTGAATAATGGAACAATCTGGAAGACAGGGGAGAGATGGAAATTTGGCTAATGTGGAAGAGTCACTAACATACATTAGAGAAAATACATCATGTCAGAACCCCACAAATGTGCCATCTTTGAGGCATGATACTTCCTCTCAGGAAATATACCAAATCTCCATGCCATTGTCCCCCGTGACCTTCTCAATAAAAAACCAACATGAAGCAGTAAGGAGATACATATTCTACTCATATTTGAAGTTATTTGGACTAAAAAACTATTTATAAAAGAAATATTACAATCTCTGAAACACTTAATCATACATTTTATAGTCATAATTATTAATAATGTCTCCCGGACTTGCATTCCATTCATCTTTAATAACTATCAGAAGTTAATGGATTATAAAATCTTTGAGAGAAATATTATTCATCTTCCCATATTTGAATGATACATTTTTAAAGCATTAGATATGAGTAAATTTGAGCAAAATTTATTAATCCAACAATGTTAGAAAAGTTTCAACTATTGACCTATAGTGTGGCTCTATCTAGTCATCTGTGATTTCAAAAATATCTTAAGATGACAGCGCAATAGAATTTTCTTCTAAGTTTTGGTACAGATCTTGGTCATTAATGTAATTATTACTTAGCTAACCCAATATTTACTATTCTGATACATGAGATAGGTTAAGTGATGGAGTAATAGTAGATTCATGAATGATAGAAAACCAGATTATCTGCAAAATAAATTCTGTTTTCTATATAGAGTTGCATTTGGATAATTCTGTTGTCTCCTTGTATCTTTCCTCACACTAAGGACTGTTGCTGCCTATGACAATCGGACAATACTTTGTGCCTCCTTCACTTGTACAACTGATACTTCTCTCTCGGGTCATCCACATCCTGCGTCCTGGGAAAGGACCGAAGGCGTTCTATGATCTGATGCTCTCCTTGATGCTGTCTCTCCCAGCATTGCTGAACATTAGTCTGCTCATCTTCCTGGTCATGTTCATCTATGCCATCTTTGGAATGTACAACTTTGCCTATGTTAAAAAAGAAGCTGGAATTAATGATGTGTCCAACTTTGAGACCTTTGGAAGCAGTATGCTCTGCCTCTTTCAAGTTACAATATTTTCTGGTTGGGATGGGATGCTGTATGCCATTTTCAACAGTCAGTGGTCTGACTGTGATCCTGATAAAATTAATCCTGGGACTCAGGTCAGAGGAGATTGTGGGAGCCCTTCTGTTGGGATTTTTTATTTTGTCAGTTACATCCTCATTTCATGGCTGATCATTGTTAATATGTACATTGTTGTGATCATGGAGTTTTTAAGTATTCCTTCTAAGAAAAAAGCCAGGACCTTGAGCGAAGATGACTTTAAGAAATTCTTCCAGGTATGGAACAGGTTTGACCCTGATAGGACCCAGTACATAGACTCCAGCAAGCTTTCAGATTTTGCAGCTTCCCTTGATCCTCCTCTTTTCATGGCAAAACCAAACAAGGGCCAGCTTGTGGCTTTGGATCTCCCTATGGCAGCAGGGGACAGGATTCACTGCCTTGACATCTTACTTGCCTTTACGAAAAGAGTCATGGGAAAAGATGAGAGGGTAGAAAAAATGCTTTCAGAGATAGAATCTGGGTTTTTGTTAGCGAACCCTTTCAAAATCACGTATGAACCAATCACAACTACCTTGAAACGCAAACAAGAGGCAGTGTCAGCAACAATCATCCAGCGTGCATATAAAAGTTACCGCTTAAGGCAAAATGACAAAAACATATCAGATAGCCCTATAAAAGGTCATGACCGAGATGATCCTGCCTCTAAGAGTGTCTATTCTGACAAAACTGAGGAAAAAACGTCTCTTCAAACCCAGATCTAGTTGCACTTCACACTTCTACTTTCTTCACGCGTCCCCCAACCTCTAAAAGCTTAACTAAGCATGAGCACTGATCACACAGCAGAGATAATGGTCACGTGTATTAACGGAGGCTACTGTCGTGTTTGGGCTGCTTAATTTTTTTTTCTCTACATGGCTTGTCTGGCATTTACTTCCTTAAAGTGAGATTGTGCTTCAGAAGTAGGAAGATACTGCATTAAATCACAAACATTCACAAACAAATACTGCCGGGTGGAAGGGGAAAATGCAGTTCTTCAGAAAGTGCCTTTCAGTTCTGTCATAGAGACTTCTGGGCTAATTTACAAGATAAGTTTCTTAAAATGTTTGATTGAAAATCATCTTTGCTTTTTTTCTTCTTGTTTTTTGATATGTTTGGTTTTTTGTTTGTTTGTTTGTTTTGCTGCTCTTTGTTAGTTTAGATATTAGATATTTCGTTGTTTTGGGACTACTGGTTCCTCATTGTGCTGGTAACCAATACGTGAGCTCTAGCTCAGCAACAGATGGGGCCTTCAGAGCAAGAAGCACAGAAGAAATTACACTTTAAGTACATTTTCTGTATTTTCTTCACATTTATTCCATTTTAAAAGTACACATTACGAAAAGAATATAATAGAGATAAATGTTAATGGACTAAAGCTTTACCTTATTATTAAAAACGATGTATTTTTTACCATTTCATAGCTGGTGCATGCTATCACATAAATTAGAAGAGTTGAGGGCAGCCAGCCTGTATAGGAATTTTCAGTGCCCTGACCATTAATTAGGAAACTGGTCTCTTAAAAGTTCTTTTCATTGCACTTTGTGCTTCTTGTAACTTAAAAAAAAAAAAAGTAATCTGTCAAACAACAAGGACTGTGAACTAAGAGACAAAGGTTTTTAAGTTGGTGTTTTATGACATCGTTAAATGCAAATGAGTTGTAGTGCTCATTTACATTTTCCTTTCTTATTTGTTGTATAAAAGTCACACTAAAAGTACTCACTTAAATGTTTTATATTTGAGAATCTGTAAAATAGCCAACATTAGTTTTAACTACTAATATTATTTTTATTAATATAAATAGTTGATTTTCACTCATTGATAAGATTGTTTACTTCCCTCATGTATTTTGAGAATCTGATATTTTCTCCATTTTGTATAAAAAACTGATTTCACTGTGCCTATAAAGTTCTCCAGAATTAAAAAAGAAAAAAATATATATTCTGTTGACTTATGTAACAAGCTTAAAATGCGTTTTATGAAACTCAGCATACTGTATTTTTAATGAACGCATGGTCTTGAGCCTTAACTCCTGTAACCAACTTCTGCTCCTCAGAAACTTAATAACTTTACCAACTTGCCTTGGAAGACAATCTAAGTGAACGTGGTTTCAGAGTCTGGTTTTGGTTTGTTTTTTTTTTTTTGTTTTGTTTTGTTTTGTTTTTTTTGTTTTTTTTTGTTTTTCTATACAAGTATTCTTCTTTCACCTTTTGCTCTGCCATGTGTTGGGTACAGGAGGCATGGGGGTGTAACTGGTGCCAGCTTCCGTGTTTCCTCCGCTTCTCAGTTTTCCACTTCCTGGGAACACCTTAATGTGGAAATTGCTACAGATACTAAAACTAAATCACAACCCGCTTCCGTGAGTCTCATGTAGATGACACACTGAGTTTAAAAATCATTTTGTTTTTACTTGTAAAGAATGGTAGGTAATCAGCATCCAATACTGCAGGAAGTTTCATTTCTAAAAGATTGTTGTCATGTATTCATCCTCCTTTTGAGATACCGCAGAAAATAAATATCACCTGCTAAGTGCACTTGGCTTTGTTTGTTTTGTATTATTGTTTTAAAAGACAGGTTGGCAAATCTGATTAGTAAAATCTTTTTTTTTAATTCTTTATTAATTACACTTTATTCACTTTGTATCCCCCCTGTGGTTCCCCTCTCCTCCCGTCCCAATCCCTCCCTTCCTCCGCCCTCTGCATGCATGCCCCTCCCCAAGTCCTCTGATGGGGAGTCTTCTTTTCCTTCCTTCTGACCCTAGTCAATTAGGTCTCATCAGGAGTGGCTGCATTGTCTTCTTTTGTGGCCTGGTAATGCTGCTTCCCTACTCACTCACATAGACATAGAATATAGGATAAACCTACTAAAATCTGTACACCTAAAGAAACTAATCAAGAGGGAGGACTCTTGCTAAAATGCTCAGTTCCTATCCAGAGAAGCAAATAGGGTGGACATCAAAAGAAGGAGAAAAGAGAGAACAAGTCAGGAGCCTGACACAGAGGACCTCTGGAAGGCTCTGCCCTGGAGACTGTCAATGCAGATGCTGAGACTTGTGGGCAACCTTTGGGCAGAGTGCAGGGAATCTTAGGAAAGAAGGGGGAAACAGTAAGACTAGTAAAATCTTAATATTGTGTAATGTTTACACAATATCCATATGTTCATTCTCAAAACTCAGGAGTGAAAACTGTTAGGCTCCCTTTAGATCTCTGATGTTTACCTGTCAGTGTATGATCAGCTGTCAGATATGTGAAAGAGCAAGAAGAGATTTTTAGTAGGACTCACATTGAATTTGAAATTCATTTAGGTGTTAGTATAGTCTCCATAATTAGTCTTCTATTTTACTAATGCAGAATGTATTTTGGTTTTATTTAGAGGCTAATCTATTCTAAGGTCTTTTTTTGAAAACAATTTTTATTTCATTGGATTTCATGTTTCCTTTCCTCACTTTTGTTGATTTCTACTATTATTGTTAGGATTTTTTTTCTTTCTGCTCACTTATTATTATTCTGTTCTTAATTTTTGTGCAGTAGAAAATTGTTTCTTCATGACTAATATGCCTTAAAAAGAATTTTTATATTTAGTTTCACCCTAACATGCTAATGTGTTATGTTTGTTTACATTCAGTTCTATATCTTCTGTTTAGATATATACAAAAATGTGAGACTTAATTAAACAAATTTCATTTGTATTATATAGGACATTACCCAGTAAGTTAAGAACATGCATTCTTTTTAGAAGCTGTGGATAATTTATGAGAACTGAACATCTTCTGGTCCATAACATAGGTTTTCATGAATATTGGAGAATGGGTGTCACATAAATCATGCTCTCTGACCACAGTGAAATTTAGGTAAAAATTAAAAGGGAAATATTTTAAAGTGTAGGTAGGCACCTGTATTCATGTACACACAGATGCACACACACTTAAAATAATCACTATATTTTATGAATAGAACTAAGATTGTTTCACTTTAGTATGTTTTAAAACATCCTATTGTATATAGGTTCACTCTGCTAGACTGTGTTTCATTTGCAGAAGTGTGACTGAATTCTGTATCTTTTCAGCATTCCTTTAATGCTTCTCCTTTGTTCCCTGAGTTTGTTCTGTTTAATTTCTATGTTTAGAATTTTCCTGTTTGCCTATATGTAATTTGTAGTTTTGTAGTATTTGTAGTTTTGATTCGTTATGGCCTAAGCACATGTAATTTCAATTCATTTACTTATGAATCATCTGTTGGCCAAATATTGTTCTATTTCAGACACTGCTCATGGACATATAATAGCATGTGTTCTGCCATTATTGAATGGAGTTCTCTATGTGTATTTCCATCCTGTTCACTCACTGTGCTGTGAAAATCATCTGTGTCTTTCCTGATTTTTTATTTGTTAATTTTGTTGGTTTCTGAGATGGAAATATTAAAATTCTATTTCTCCTGTTTTTCTTGTCAATGAATTTTGCATTGTTTCGAAGCACTGTTGTTTGAGGTGCTTATATTAAGGATTACTATTTTGTTCTGATAAATCGTTTTTTTTTTTTTAAATTATTGTATAATGTCCCCTCCCCATAATCATTTCTTCCGAAGTTGACCTCACCAGATAATATAATCAGGGCTGCTTTTTTAGAAAAAGTGTTTGGTTAGATGAATATTTTCTTCGCTTTTGAGGATTTTTATCTCCAATTTTATGTGCCATTGAATTGGAAGTTTTGTTTAAGAAGCAGTTTGTTGGTTTGATATATTTAACCATTTATGTTTATGTATAGATTTATTAGCACTGAAGACTAACATTATTTGTTTTGTTTTAATTTTTGTTTCTCTTTTATTTTATTGAGATAAATATATTCTGGTATAATTTTATAGAAAATATATATTCTGATCAAGTTTGCCCTCCCATAACTCCTTCCTCCCACATCCTTCCCACCAACCCACCACCCAACTATACATTTATAGTGTTTCCAGCCAATTGTGTTTCATATTGCTAGAACTCTCTGTTTGCCTCTATACCCCATTTAATACAGTTATTTGTTTTCTTGATGTTCGTTTTCATTAGTTTTGGATTTATTCTGGATGCTAATCCTCTAGCAAATGTATCATTTTTTATTCCTGTGTCTTCACAAACAAATTGACTCCTTCTCCTATATTCAGGACAAAGAATTTTTTATTTAGTCTGATGAAAGAAAGATCCTACTCCTCTTCTAGTTTTTCATGATACTTTTACTTTCAGTCTTGAAATTTATTCAAACATTTTATATTGTCTGAGAAATTCTGTATTTTTTAAAATGTGGACACCCTTTTTTCTTTTTTGTATTGTGTCATACTTCAGCTTAAAAATAAGAAAGGCTGTCCTTTGCCTACGTGGTTAAAACATGGGACAGGAAGAAAAAGGGTTTTTTAAAAAGCCAAAGATATTAATTCATCACTGCACCCACAATATAAAAGGGCTTTTACAAAAGCCATATGTAAACCTACAACTGTAGAAGCTTCCTCCGACACACACATATATACTTATATAAAGAGTTTAAGTGGCATTACCCTATAATGGAGGATGAACAATACACCAAGATAGTACATACAAGCAAGCAAGGACCTCAATACTAGTAATGGGTCGCCATTTTTTTTTTTTTTTTTTTAGTTGTTGGCCAGTGGAGATTCATAAATCTCCGAACATAGCCCATTACTGTTATTGTTCTTGTCCATCCTCTAGGACTTGAGAATAAGATTGTAGCTGAAGACACCACAGGCTCGAGTCATGCAACACTAGAAATCAAATGAATGTTTCATCTCTACTGGATAGCTTTCATGGTGCTAGAAGGCACAAACCCCACCAAACTACAAAAATGACTCTCTTGGTAAGATATAACTGCTACTGCAGTGATGACAATATGAATGTTACAGGAGCAACCAAACGCTTTTTGATCGGATTCAAGGAGCACTGCAAGATGTGAAACCCATAGCTGACACATTGGGAAAATGACTGTGTTTCCAGATAAGTCAGAGGCCTATCCAGGGAAAAAAACATACTCTTCATGGCTCAACATTATATTCATGGATCAATGCATCTCTCAATCCTCATTAAAGAAGCTTCTTTCTATAGTAGATGACAACACAAGCCCTCACAACTGGTCAGTTTACAGAGAATATGAACCTTCACAGCACTCCTTCCTAAACAGAACATCTATATCAAACCCTTTCTACCAAGGCTCAGGATCATTGAGACAGTGGAGCATAAAGTTTGTAATAGTCAGAGACAGAGAAAGTCTACAAGAAAACAATGTTTTTCAGATACACGTGCTAGTTACACGTATGAACGCATAGTGATTGTGACAGTCTGCACAAATCCTGTGCAAAATCAAGTCAGACAAAATCCAAGCATGGAGGAAAGAGACCACAAAATCCTACCTATTAGAGGAGGAGCTAACATTTGGTAGATACTTCTGAGAGTCAGTTTTTTTCAGGTAAGACCCCTGGTAGGTCAACCAAGCAACAGGTCAGATCCCATAAACAAGAGTGTTTTGCCAACTCAAAGAGTTTAATAAAGAAAGAGCAAACAGAAATTTTGGTGGTTAAGAAGGTAGAGAAAGATACAAGATACAAGAGTAGATACAAGAGAAGGGGATGAATAAAGCTAAAATACCTTTTATGGAATTCACAAGAAATAATAAAATATTATAAAAATTATGAATTTATATCAAGAACTAACGCAAAGTGTATCCCCTTTGAAGTTTTAAATTTTTAATTGATGCAATAATTA